TTCCTCTATGGAGACATAGAGGAGACTGTATACATGGCACAGCCTGAGGGTTTTGTTGCAGAAGGACAATCAGACAAAGTCTGTAGACTGAACAAAGCAGTCTACGGCCTAAAGCAAGCAGCCAGAAGCTGGAATGCTAAGGCTGACAAAATACTAAAAGGTCTTGGTTACAGAAATCTTAGAGATGAACCCTGTATTTATATCAAAGAGACTAAAAATTCTATCATTATAATAGCATTATATGTTGACGATTTTTATGTCTTCTATAGTTCAGATAGTGACAAATCTGATCTTGTTAAATCTTTAAGACAGCACTTTGTGGTAAAAGACCTGGGTGAGGCGCAATCATGCCTAGGTATGCAAATAGAGCGTGATCTGGAAAATGGATGTCTTACACTCCACCAAGAAGATTACATTAAGGATACATTAGTAAAATTCCGGATGGCTACTTGCACACCTGCCAATACACCCATGGAAACCAAAATTAGACCTCATTTGCTGTCAAAAGAAAAGCAGACAGATGCACCATATAAGGAATTAATCGGGAGATTAATTTACCTGAGCATCACAACAAGGCCAGACATAGCATTCTGTGCTAGTTTCTTGAGCCAATTCAATAAAAACTATACAGAAGCACACTGGAATCTAGCCAAGAGAGTGCTCAGATATCTAAAACAAACAGCCAAGGTTGGTCTGACATATACAAAGCCTGAAAACCCATCCTTTTGTATTATTGGTTACGCTGATGCCGACTTTGCAGAGAACTCTCTTGACTACAAATCATACAGTGGATACTGTTTCTCTCTTGATGGAAATCTCATCTCCTGGGAGAGCCGAAAACAAAAATTGGTGGCTCAGTCATCCACAGAATCAGAGTACATCTCTGTAACTGAGGCTGTGAAGGAATCCATTTATTTAAATGACCTTGTGAATGAGATTTTCCACTGTGGTGAACAGAGGATCACAGTATTTAATGATAACCTCAGTGCTCTAAGGTTAGCCTACTCAGAAAAATACAGTGCTAGGACAAAACATTTTGGAGTACGCATTCAACTAGTTAGGGACTGCATTGGGGACGGATCTTTGTTCCTTGAACATATGTCGTCAAAATTAATGCCAGCAGATTTCCTAACAAAATCACTGAACAAGGTTGATCACGAAAAATGCTGTAATGCATTGAAAATAAAATCCTCGGATTGAGGGGGAGTGTTAGACAAATATAAACAATCCTGAGAATAACCACTCCGTCTACTGCTGTACTACTCTAGTCAGC